TTCCCTCCTGTATGGAGGGAACTATTTGAAATGGTGTCTGCTCTGTCACTTGGATCCCTGATTGAGCCTGATGTTATGCAGCATGAATGAAATATAAACCTTTATTGTTTTAAGTCATTGAGATTTGGGAGTTGTTCATTACTGTTAGCATAACTTAATCTGTCCTGATTTATAGGAAGAAGTGAGTGCGTATGGGTACTTAAAGCAAAGGATGACTTCAGAAGTCTGGGAGTCTAGGGACATTCAGATGCAAAAGCTGAAGCCAGGAGAAGGAGCAAAGAGAGGGAGATAATGATTAATGTATTTAATATCCTTCCTCTCCCCACCCCACCTCCTTATAACACACAACTCCCCAGTTTGCCTATGGTCTGCCTTCCAAATTTATTCATGCATTCATTCTAATCAAACAATTCCCTATACCTCTGATAAATCTTGAAAACTCTTGCCTCCTCCTCCCTACCTCTTCTCTTCCCTTATTCTAGTTAGAGAATCACAGAACTCATTGCTGGGGACTTAGAGACCAACTGGCTCGAATTCTACCTGTGTTGTGTATCCCTGCTATGCTGCCCTTACTTATGTTGACCTGAAATCCTTTTAGTTAAACTTTGACTCATTTGTGTTATTGAGGTTCACAGAATAAGTCTTACCTATATCTGCTTTCAGGAAAAATTGCCATGATCTATGAAGCTGGAACAAAGAATACATATTTGAAAACAAATTTAAAATATGCTCACTTAGAATTTGCTTTTTAAATTTTTTTTTTAAAGTAGGTCCAGAGGGCTTCCCTGGTGGTGTGGTGGTTAAGAATCCACCTGCCAGTGTAGGGGACACAGGTTCGAGCCCTGGTCCCAGAAGATCCCACGTGCTGAGGAGCAAATAAGCCCATGTGCCACAGCTACTGATCCTGTGCTCTAGAGCTTGTGAAGCACAACTACTGAAGCCCACACACCTAGAGCCCATGCTCCACAGCAAGAGAAGCCACTGCAATGAGAGACCTGCACACCGCAACGAAGAGTAGCCCCCGCTCACCGCAACTAGAGAAAACCTGCACACAGCAATGAAGACCCAACACAGCCAAAAATAAATAAAATAAAATAAATACATTTTTAAAAAAAGTAGATCCAGAAATATTAAGTTCAGAGTGATCCTATCTTGATAAAGGAGGGATATGTGTAAATATATATGAAATGAAAAGTCCAGAAAGCTATACATGCAAATGCCAGATATCTCTGCATGGTTGGGTTATGGCTATTTTCTATCTTCTTCTTTTTGTTTTTTGTTTTGTAAATTTTTGTTCAATAAATATGTATCATTTATATAATGAAAAAAGTTGTGATTCATATACATATACTTAAAGGCATTAACTTAATTGCCATGGCAATGAAACTGATAAAGAATACCAAGAAAATCATGACTAGAGAAGAATATAAATTCTAAGAAAATTGAGTATCGTGCATCTAACCAGGTAAATGGGTGAAAGGATTAAACAGTCTTTCCAAGGAGAATGAGTTTAGTCCTAATGGTATCAAAACTGAAGCCAAACCATAGTTCATAAATTTGTACTGAGGTCACATGGCATACGTGCTTGCTTTCAGGTAACTTGTTATGTATATAATCAATCTTGACCTTAGCCTACCCATAAATATTCAATTTTTTACAAATGTTTACAGAGGGCATAGTTTATGTTAAGCATTATACTGTACTATGTGGAGATATAAAGATTAATAAGAGATGATCTCAAAGAGTTCACAA